TACGGGGCGTGATTTGCAATTCGCCCAGCCAATCAGAACTGGGGCACTTTTTTCCCCCAGGAAAGTACCATCTCTCAGCAGGCACTAAAAATGGGGGTAAAAGTTCCCGAGATTAAGTGCTCTTTTTGGTGTGAACGCGACATAAGGGGTACTAACGGAACTAAACGCGAAAAGTACGGTGAAAAGTACTCCGGTGTGAACGCGGCTATTACTAACATACATTCAGTACTGTGGACAATCCCCACAGGAGCAATTTGGGGTGAAGTGTCCTGCCCAGGGACACAACGACATGCTGACTGCAGTGGGACTCGAACTTGCCGCCCCCTGATTCGAAGTTCAGCGCACTATCCACTGAGCCACAGCCTCCCCATGAATGTATGAAAGTTATCTGTATATTCCTAAATCTGTTAAACCTCCTCAGCCAAAAGATCCAGCATGTCAGTAAATTATCACATCTTTAGAAAACAAGCATGCTCAAATCTCCCAACTTAGAATCACAATTAATCCAAGTTCTATTGAGATCACGAGTAAATATGTGTTATAGGTTCGAAAGGTGGTTCATTTCCTTGTAAATTCAAATGATCACTTCCCAGAAGCATCAGACACACCCATTTGTTAAGTTTCTATTACTACTTATGTTGATTTACATTCCTTCAACTTCGGCTCACAATTAATCACATTTCTATCGAGATCACAAGAGAGCGATATCGGAATTGCAGTAAACAAAATATTTGTTAAAAGTTTAATAGGTGGTTCATTTCGTCTTAAAAGGGCCCATGTCTACTAGAATAGATTTATATTGTGCAATTTTCCAAACTCACATTGGTTTCTCATACAGCATCTCTGTAAACTACGTGTATTCACTGAATTTCACTCTCTGCCTTTAACGGCTCGTGTTGTTTCCTTGTTAGCGATACACAGCCACACACAGTCAAACTCATCCTGAGCACACACAAAGTCACAGCCGAAGTAAAAACAATAAGTGTGGCTTGATATTGAGTAAGAAAAAGGTTGATAAACGCTGTGAGAATGGGTCTGCAGAGAGAATGTCGCCGCGATCCCAACTGTCTGTTATCAGCCTGCTCCCTGCTCACAGTCCGTGGATTGGTCAATTTGGACCAATCAGCGGGGGCTTAACGTAACGGCTCCACGGATTGGTCCATTTCGTTCCGGGTACGGCATGACATCATGCCGTACCTGGAACGAAATGGAAGAATCAAATGGACAATAACGTATCTCCAACGAGGCGTTTTGGGGAGGTATTTTCTGTGTTAGAGTTTTACTCGCTACAGGGTGTACTTTGAGGGTTTGTAACTCTGCAGACCGTTTACATGCATAAAAACCTTCATAACACAAGGGGACGGGTAATAACCGGAAAAGCATGACATGGGCCCTTTAAATTCAAATGATGACTTCCCAGAAACATCAGACACGCCTATTTGTTAAGTTTCTATTACTACTTCTGTTGATTTACATTCCTTCAACCTCTGAAGACAAAGAGCAGCGATGACACGATAAGGTTTGATATGATGACATACCGAGCACGCAAGAGGAAACACTTTCCAAAATATAAGTTACACTATCGGATGTTTCCTCTCTTTGACTATGATGAAAACAATCCACTAATGTCTCGTTAACAGCCACTAATAGATGGTCCTTTATAACTCCAGACACACACATTGCAAATTAAAGAAGCAAGAATGAACGTCAACTTTGGCAAATGATGTTGAATAAAAGGTTTTATTTTATGTAAAAATCCTACATTTTATGCTATCAACGTTGTGTCAAATTGGTATGGAATATCGACACTTTTTTTAAGGTATAAATCAGAAGTTAGTGTAAGTGAAACTAGCATTTTGTCGTGCCGTTACATCCTATAATACCCGACCGCTGCTCTTTGCACCGCTGTGTTTTCAGACGTCACGGTCCAACAAGAACCCAAATGTCACGGCTGTGATCGATAGCGCTACGACAGACTTGTGAAGAGAGACGGATACAAACGAGTCATGGTTGTTTAGTTACAGGAGTTGCTTCTTCCTGTGCTGCATGTTTCTTTACAGAGAACTTCTGCTTTAGACATTATCAGGGTGGGAGATCAATGAGGTTGGCCTGATGCTCATTATCAATAATCTCGTTTTGAAGGGAACTGGGTGGACTTTTTATAAAGATATCGTTTTTTTGGCAGAACAGCAACAAGTCTCCAGCCACAAAAATATCCTTTTGCTTTGAATTCAAACCAACTACACACTAGGGCTGTCCCGAATACCATTTTTCGGGCTCCGGATATTCGGTAGTAATCAGCAGCGAATCGCTTCAACACGTGTATTTTGTTTTTATTCACGGCATTCATTTTGTTATTCTACAGTATTGTTGTTTTATAGTTATTTGTTAATGTATATAACCCAATTTGTGTTCTTTGAAATTGAAAAGGATATCGCATTGTGTTTGTTACTTTCGTTACAGTTGTATACGTCTTAAGTGTAATTTGGCTTGGCTTCCTATTTTGTATGGACATGCTTTTATTTGGAAAGAGAGTTAGCACTGTTGACAGGAAGTTGTTGTTGCTATGGAAACAACGTGACGGAGATTAACGGAGAAAAAGTAATATCTACATATAAAGACGGAGAAAGTAAACAATAACGTTTATGGTTAAGTGTTAGCACCCCCCCGAAGAGGCACAAGCTCTTACGTTGATATTGGAGTTTTCAATAAATTCAATTTGGCAGCCGCAGTGCAGCGAATAACGAAATTGAAACCCGAATAGTACTCCAACGAACGAATATTCGGATACAGCCCTACTACACACACACACTTTTGGAAACCTACCATGCTGAAGTAGGAACTGGTTGTAACTGGTTTGAAAATCAATATAAAATAAATGATTGCCAGATAAATCGATAAAAGGTTTAATTTAACGTTTATTTTTGTCACAATTGAGACATTTATTAAATGAACTGAAGATATAATTCATTGAAAAATGACAGCTCATATTTAAATTCCCAGAAAAGTGCATACAGCATGATAGAGATTTTAATATGTCGTGCCCAACCTTAATGGAAATTGGCCATATGTATACAAATACTTAATGTCATTTGTAAGTTTACTAATTTGTTAATGATGGGAAAATTAGGTTTGGTCTGCCAACAGTTTACTTTAATACTATTGTTTATTCTAAAGTCTGTAGAATACAATTTGTAGGCAGGGTTATCACTAAATGTGTACTTTTACCTGCTTCCTGTATGTTGAATATTGCTTTACTCTATATTGAGATTTTGATAACATTTCAAAATGTGTGCAGCCGGAAAATAACCAACCCAACTTCACATTCAAAAAACTAAATGTATGTTTGATATAAGATTTAATTCTGGTTCAGCAGCTCTTACCAAAACACAGAAATTATACTTCTAAAATAAGTCCAAGACAATGTGACAAAAAAATTAAAAACCGTTTGCTAACAAATTGGTCTGACTCGATCTGCCAGTATAATTTAATCAATATCTAAAAGACGGGCTTGAAGATCTGGGTTGACGGTTTTAAATCCTATAAACAGCAACAAAAAAATCCTCTCAACTACTTACTTAATTAAAACAAAATCAGCGCATTAATGCAGGGTAACATAAAAACTACATTTAATTTGAGTTCAGCAGATCTTACCAAAACACAGAAATGATACTTTTAAAATAAGAAGACAATGTGACAACAAAACAACAAATTGGTCTTACTATTTATAATTAGTATAATTGTACCAATATCGAAAAGACAGGCTTTTTAAACCCCTTAACCAATTTGGGTGGCCCACGCATCCACCCCCCCCCTCAAATAACAAAATGCATGCGAGTTCATGGCTCCTGTAGCAGACAACGTTCTTGTTGCTCTGTGTTGCGTTGTTAATGAGCGAGACACACCGGAGTTGAGGATCTGTGGGGTTTATTCTCCCAAAAATATAATTTAGGCATTTAGCCGACGCCTTATTCCAAAGCGACTTACAATGACCAATTACAGGGACATTCTCCCTGGAGCAGGGGTCGGCAACCCGCGGCTCTTTAAGCCCTCTACTCTGGCTCCCTTGAGCTTAGACAAAAATAGGAAAATAAAATAAAAGTATTTGTAGGACTATTTCTATTTTGTTGCACGGTTGAAAATGTTTCGTATCTTGTATTTTGAGGTGATACTGTGAGACATAAATAAAAAACAACCGGGATGTTTGATATGTGGAGAGAAGTTGTCAAAGGTGCTGCAGCCAAACACGGAAGAGGAAGACAGCTGACGATCTCCCGTCATAATTCAATCAGTTAACTATTTTTAGGGTGCAGCTATAGGTTTTATTTATTTCAAAGTGGTTCAATTATAATTATATTCAAATGTGCAGAGGACTCCCCAAGTGCTGTGTTTAATTTATTTTAAAGTTGGCCTGTGTATTTTTTTTTATTCTCCTTATAAGAGTTCTTTGTTTATTATTAGAGGTTAACAGTTTTCTATAATGTAATAAATAATAAATGCAATGATGTAACAATATACACAACTTTATAAGCTATCAAATATGTTTTGCGGCTCCAGACAAAAAATATTTTTGGAAAAGGGGGCAAAATGGCTCTTTTGGTCAAAAAGGTTGCAGACCCCTGCTCTGGAGTAACTGAGTGCCTTACTCAAGGGCACACTAGTGGTGGTGTTCCAGGCGGGATTTGAACTCGCAACCTTCCGATCATCAGCCCACCTCACTATCCATTAGACCACCACAAAAAAAAAAGAATAATATTTTTTTATGAGATCCATTTGTGGCGGACGATATTTAATCGCCACAAATGAATTAAAGTATGGGAAACACTGGACTTATATAGCGCTTTTCTAAAAACTCAAAGCACCACGACACAAAGTCAAATTCCTCGTAAGTGTAAACCTACCTGGTGATAAACCTGTTTCTGATTACTCTTAATTCAAACAAAATCAGCGCATAAATGCAGGATAACATATACATGCATCTTGACGTGTTAAAAACTCACCAAATGAGAGTTCTCTTTTGCCTCTTGGACTTGCTGCACCTGTGGTTCAGCTACAACTTTCGTGTCCTGGTCAGAAGTCATGAGCCGTCTGCTTCTTGGCTCCTCAGGGAGAAGTCTCTGCGTCACCAAGTAAGCTACGGGAGGCCGGAGGGGACAAACAACATGTCAGAGTCACAATGGATGTTTATCACAGGACTTTGGCTTCATATCAGTTGTTACACGTGCACAGAGGAGAAGAGGGGAAGAGGGCAGTGGCCGATAGTGACTGGAGAAAAGCCGTCTGAGGACTGGAGGGTTGTTGTTTCATTCATATGTGGCAACAATTATAATACATTTAATTTCTAAGCGCTTTTTCAGGTGCTCAAAGACACAGTGGTGATAAAAAGCAAATAAAATAAAAATATTAAAACAGCAACACAACATAATTCACACATTAAAAGCCAGTCTGAAGAGGTGAGTTTTGGTCACTGTTTTGAAGGTGGGGGGGGTCAGTCAATAATAATAATAATAATCAATACAAGACAATATTAGGGCTGTGCTATTAATCATATTTGTAATCGCGATTACGGCCTGCAACGATTACGAAAACAACATAATCGAAAAAAACGATTATTTTTGCTCTGCTAGGTAGTGACCAAATGTATTTTAGTCTAATTTATTTATCATATTTATATATGGTTAGTAGCTTGTGGAAGTGCGCTCCAAAAATATTTGTTGATCTTGTTTATTGGTATTTATTATTTTGATATTATTTATTTAAAGGTAAATATATAATACATTTTTGTATTGGTTTTTCAGTTGAATTATACGTTCAGGGTAATCAACTGTGTGTGTGTGTGTGTGTGTGTGTGTGTGTGTGTGTGTGTGTGTGTGTGTGTGTGTGTGTGTGTGAGAGAGAGAGAGTGACAAGAGCTATATTCAGAGCTCTGCTTTTTCATCGTTGCCGTTGTATGATTGGTGTTTAGCTACGGTATTTAGCGTCTACAGCACCTCCGCTTTTAGGGTTGACGTAGACCCAAACATCGCCCGGAGGTCCCCCGGTGTTGTTGTGGGAGCTGCTGCACTAGCTTACGCTGCAAAAGGTGCAGAGGGCTTCAAACACGTTCCCCTCCACTGGTTTCAACCAAGCACTAAATTCGATGTTTTCCAACCAAATACGGTTGAACTTACACTTCCCCATATTTATTTGTAAGTAGATTCGAAGATACACGAGTTTCTGACTGCCGCTAGCTGAAGCTTGGTTGCTAGGTTACTAGCTGGGTGTTCTCCGATAAGGGGCCGGGGGAAACAAAGTTAGTGATTACTGGTTCCATGTTGATTAATTGAGCAGACCAAGACAATATGATAACAAACTTAAGGGTAAAGAAAAGAGAGTATTCCAAATGTAAAACACGTTACCAACTTAGTGGATATAAAACAGAAATAAGAAAACATTAATGAATACAATACAATAATAAAGAAATAAGAAAACACAAATAAAATCTAAAATAAAGTTGAAAAAGTGTGTTTTCAGCTGTCGTTTAAAGTGTCTACTGATTTTGCCTCATATTTCTTGCATTATTTTACACATCTTATGTATCAAATAATGCATGCTTTAGGTAATTTAGTAACATAAAATAGACATGACCAATATATAGCTCTTGTTCAAATAAACCCAATCTAACAGAACAGATCTTACACGTCTTAAAGTCCAAACTGTCTTTTGTCTGTGAAGTTGAGTGATTTATCTAAAGCACCAAGTATACGGGGGCATTGGGCCAGTGAATAATTTAGGACCCTGAAGGAGGTGACGAATACATTTTGTTTGAAGAGGCTGAACGTATGTTTGATAAAAGATTTTATCCTGGTTCAGCAGCTCTTACCAAAACACAGAAATGATACGTCTGAAATAAGAAAACTTCCAAGACAATGTGACGACAGAAAAGTACAAAAATCTGCCGATCACTTTAGCTAGTGTGACTCGATCTGCAAGTATAATTTAATCAATATATGAAAGACAGGCTGTGTACACAGGTTTGAAGATCTGGTTTGACAGTTTTCAAACCTATAAAACAACAAAACCATTAACTACTTACTCTTAATTATTATTCTACAACAATGTCTCTTGTGTTTAAATAATCTGATATTTCTTTAGCTAATTCTGAAAGCAAAACAACAAATCATCGGTTTCTATGTTCCTAAACTAATTTGTTAACCATTTTCTGACATTTCACACATGATAATAGTCTGTAATTATTTGATAACACTGGTAGTTGTAGCCAAAGTGAGGAGTAGATAGCTTTGCAGATTAAGTCAAAGGTGTTATTGGATATCAGAAGTTGATGTTACTTCATTAACTTCCTGTCAATCCAGTCTTTAACTGTTTCAGCAAAACTGACCATCATCTCCAAACATTTGTTGGTGCTAGTGACATTTTGTAACCATTTTTTTAGCCTGCATTTCAGTACCTGCCGTCTAATTGGTTAACCCTTTCCCCTACATCTGACCTAAGAGTTACACATTAACAGATAGCAGTGACCCCAGAGTCCAAACACCACTGGAGACGCTTCTGTTCTGTCCCGTTGGAGCCGTTTGTAAAGCAGTGATAATCCGCCCCAACAATCGGGGGCCTGTGTGTGACACGAACCCTCGCTGTGTTTGCATACAAAGCAGAAAAAGAATGGCATTGCTGTAAAGCTGGTGACCTTTGATCCACATACTGATCCCCATACATGGCATGTTTGTGTTTGTGTCATGCCACTGCGATGAATGGGGCTAAACACATCTCTCCATCAACGGCAGTCGGCTATCAAAACAGCTGTTGTGAGATAAACTTTTCTGAACAAAAAACCTGTTTGTCCGCTGAACTGTACATTAAACTTGTGTGACCTCCACGCCATGGCTCAGCATTTAACTGTGCTGATGTGATATGTTAATGAAATATATTCCTGAGGTTCTGCAGCATGCATGTGTAGGTGAGGTCCAAGACTTCTGAAAGAAAGTTATTCAAACGACTACTTGGCAGAGAGTAGTCTTTTGTAAAAAGAAACGGAGCATCTGATCTAGCAGAGGAGGATGTGCATGGCATTTCTTTGTGTGTTTTAGAAACTCTATCCATCTACAGTTATGTAAAAGCTCTGTAAACTAGTTTCCCTTTTATTTGTCACTTAACAAAGAGTTATATCCTTTTAAATTAGTCACGCAAACTCTGGGTTTTGGACGTTTTCTGTCACATAACTTGCTAGATTATTGCACTATTTCACAATTTTTGTATTTACTTGCACTATTTTTTCTGTTTTAGTGTGTTGGAGGAGCCTGTGACCTAAGATTGTCATCGTCATAACGACACTGTAGCTATGTACGTATGACTATTAAAAGCCTTGAACCTTGAGATATTTCAGAATTCACAGTATAGCTTTTAAAAACCAAGTTGTTCCTCTTGTAATCTGAAACTCCAACGGTGTATTGATGCCTGCCTTTCACCACAATGCAACAATATATTAACATAACATGATGATTAAGTTACCACTTCTTACAGACACACCAAATCTACCATGCAAAACCTAAAACAACGATACTCTAAGTAACAAAGTCTTGGTATTTATGTTAAATCACAAGAACGTAATATATATATATATATAGCAAGTTATGTGAAAAAAAGTCATAAACCCTACAGTACTGTGAATCTTGAAATGTGTGTATATATACAGTACTGCTTTAAAAAAAAAGGGGTTCCTCTTGTAATCTGAAACTCTAACAGTGTATCGATGAAAGCCTTTCACCACAATATATTAACATAAGATGATTGTCAAGTTGCTTGAGTGACCACCTCTTACAGACATATGCAATCTACCAAGCTATAAAAACAACAATGATACTCTAAGTAACAAAGTCTTGGTATTTATGTTAAATGGGGCAATCATAAGACAACATGCAGTTTGACCTGATAAACCCTATATAAAAAGACTAACCCCGGTCACAGTACATGTCATTTCCTCTACAAATCCAGTGAGTCAATCATCACGTCTAGACAAGGCCTGAACCAAAACACACTCCTCCTCCACCTCCTGCACTGCCTCCTCTCCCGCGCGCAGAATCACAAGAGATGATTTATCACGCAAATAAGCCGGTTGGTGAAAAATGCAACAGGGGGCCAAGGGAGTTTATTTTTAGTCCGTGGGTTACCCGCTGGTGGAGGACGGTCACCAGGCGTCTTACATGTCCCTGAAGGGGGGGTGGACACACACTGCACCACCATCTGCATCCATTTATCCATTATTACAATGAGCAGTGTTTCATTTCACTGTGCAGCATGTCATGTTACATTCCATGTTCAGCTTATAATAGTTAGCTTCTCCTGCATGACTTAACAGTGCCATATCTACACTGTAGCTACTGTACATGACAATAAAGCCTTTGAACGTCCAAGCACTGAACCACCAGTATTTGCATCCATGTATCTATTATGACAATGTTTCCCATCGTGCCTGTTGTGTGATCGTGATGCTCTATATGTGACATGTATGTGTGTTCGCCTCCATCTGCTTGTCTTTCATCCTTTCTTTATAACTAATGCTGTTGGTGTATTGTGATTTAAAAAAAGGTATCTATTATCATCTGCTGGATAATTAGCAATGTTGGCTAAAGCTGCCCCATTTACTGTTCTTTGTGACAGTTGATAAATGGGGACTGCCACAATGAGCAGTGTTTCATTTCACTGTACAGCATTTCATGTTACATTCCATTTTTAGCTTATTCTATTTGTATATAGTATATAGTTAGCTTCTCCTGCATTATTAACAATTGCAATATCTACACTGAAGCTACTGTACATGACAATAAAGCCTTTGGACGTCCAAGAAAGGCCTCGGATGTGTTTGTTTGCATCAACTTTACAAGTCCACCACCACTGCAACTTCTACTAGAGACGCAATGCAGGCGTATTTAGTAGCTGACAGTAGAGAAAACACTCTGCAGCTCACATGCCATGTCCATGCCAAGGGCCATGCAACAAAGACACTCCTGCGTCGCTAGGCAGTCCAGCTTCATGGGAGCAAAGTACGAGACAAATGTGGGTAATAAATCAACAAAAGGGACGAGGCATTTCACCCATAAACACACCATCATGTTATGTTATTTAAAGTTAACTTTGGGGGGGGGGGAAAGCAGCAGATCCACGTCTGGTTCGCTGGCTTGGAGAAGCATCCCATGAAAGATGGCGACCTCCCGCGTGATTTCGCGGATTCCCCAACCCCCGAAACAAGCAAGCTAATTTAAGATTAACTTTTAGATTAAGGGGAAATGTAGTTGTTCACCCTGGTGTTAGTATAAAAATACACACGCATGCTTTCTCCTGTTCTACAACCCAGAACTATTTGCACATCAGCTGCTCTGCACAAGTGTAATGTATATATTATCCAATGCAGATATGTGTCTAGTTTATTTCTATATATTCTGTAGCCTAGAGATATTGTAGAGTGTAGAGTATTAAAACGTATGGAGTCATTTCTTTATACCAAGTATTATCTTGATACTGTCGTGCTACATCTCTTTTCTACTGTGAATTTGCATATATTTGCTCTTAATGATTTCTTTTACTGGGGTCGTATTGTATCTTTTGAATATATTTAACTTGTGTGAAATGCTTGAAAACACTGCTACTGTGATAAATTAATAGCACAATTTGGGATCGATAAAGTATCTTGTGAGGTGTGTGGCGCAGTGCGTTGTGTGTAGGTGTTCGGATCAGGGGGTCACAGGTTCAAACCCCACTGCAGTCAGCATGTCGTTGTGTCCCTGAGACACTTCACCCCAAATTGCTCCTGTGGGGATTGCCCACAGTATTGAGTATGTAAGTCGCTTTGGATAAAAGCGTCTAACAAGTAACATGTAATATAATGTATCTATTTATCTATCAGTGCACAAACAGAACGAAGGTAAAAGCAGTGTTTCAACAGGGCCTCGCAGTGTGTTTGTGCCACTATTTACAACTATGACACGACAATAAGTCTTAAAAACAGCTTATTTTACCACATTTGTGTCAAAATCCCATGGCCCTATGCTTAAACCCTGGCAAATATAGTTTCATGTGACAGAGTAATGTAATAAAATGACGTCATAAATGTAAATGTTATCAGTAAAGTACAGCGATTGAGAAAAAAAGTACATATGGGTTACATATCCACATATGTTTTCGGTACAAAGCTTATATGTACACATCCCATTATTAGAATATACGTTGTTTTTTTAGGGCTTTTTATGATTGTGGCCCAGGTTTAAATTATTTGTAAGAGACTTAATTGAAAGGTAATCCAATGGAATAAACTAGGGTTACGGGTTCATTTATTTTATAGGTTTTTCTATTTTATTATCATACCTTTTACCTCCCGTGTCCCCTAAGCTGTTATATCATGTTATTATGCTAAAAGGTTTTAACGCGTGGCCTGATGTGAAATTCTTGTTCTCGATTATGTTGTTGTTGTTGTTAAAGTACGTTCAGCTGCACCTGGTGTATGAAAAGTGCTATTCAAATACAGCTTTAAAAGCAGTTTCTTTAACTCACCAGAATGTCTTATATTTGGAATATTATGACCAAAAGTCCAGAAAATAGAGTTCTCAGAAACTAAATTATTATCTATTGTATAGTGTTTTATGTTGTATTATCATGCATTTTACCTCCTGGTTCCCCATAACTGTTAAACTGTCATATTGTGTTGTTATGCTGCATGTGCTAAGAGTTTTTAACCCCTTGTTTTTAGGACTCGTTCACTTTGTTGCCCGGTGTAAAACATCTCTCCATCTACCAGAATGTATTGGTCCGATCTGATTGAACAGACTGATCTACTACACTTAAGAAACCCCAAAGCATTGTTTTTAACAGTTGGTACCACTAATTACAACTTTGACATGACAGATACGGTTTTCTTTTACATTAAAGTGATTATTGGACACTAGAATTGTTAATGGAGAACTTAAAAAAAGGGCCAGTGATCAGGTCCCCTTGCAGTGCCACTTGTGATGCCTTAAAAACAAAAGGTTCATTTAAAAATACCTATATATTTACGGAAGGGGATGAAGGGCCACATGATAAAAAAAAATGTTTTGGATGTGACAAAAGGTGTTTTTAAAAAGTGTAGTTATTTTTTAAAGTCCGAATTCTGAAAACATTTTCATGTCAGGATTTTTCATTATTGATAATCAGATTTTAATCTCAGAATTCGCCAATATCATGTATGCTGTTGTACAGAATCAGAATCCCTTAGAAATTGAATACTTTGACCAAAAGTAATTCAACAAAATTGAGTTTTGAAAAAAAAGTCAGAATTCTGAAAACATTTATTTATTTTTCTTTTACGTTTTTTTGTGTGAAAATCTACAAAATTCTGACTTTTTTTTCTCAGACTTCATTAAAGTCATAACCCACATTTTGTTTTTAAACAGTTTATTTGACTCACCTGTCAACTCTGCACGGCAATGCAAACACTCTGATGGAAGTAGTAGCAGCTGATGGTGGACTGCGGCCTTCAGTTAGCTTCCAGGCTAAATACGCAGGGTATTAAAGCTAGCAGGCTATATCGAGCACGCTAGCTAGGAAGCAACCGGCTTACCAGCTCTAAACCTCCCCACAAATACTCTTCAAATGTCAGGATGATAACTCCACGACTAGGTACAAGTGCACTGACAACAAAAAGATGCCCCCCCCTTAAAAAACTGTCTGCAAAAACGTTCTCCGACCACAGCTAGTTAGCTTTGAGGCTAGCTAAGAGTTAGCTAGGAGGCTAACTAGCTTTCCTTATCAACTTTTGTGCAGATAATAAATCTGAAGCCGGGGATTAAATTCCACACGATTTAAACAGCAGGACGTTTTGGGTAATAGGGGAAGTCAAAAGAAACTGTGAAGAAATATCCCGAAAGCGAGGAATAAAGCGATGCTCGTCTCAAAGCTTCCGATCGATCAGACAGTCCGTAGAGAGAGGGGGGGGGCGGAATAATGGAGCCGTTTCCTTTCCCTTTCGTGTGCAGAACAAAGATCGTCTCTGCTGTTGTTATAGTTTGAGTTCTCAAAAAGCGGCCAGTCATCGGGTTAATCTTCCAGGCCACTTATGATGCATTAATAACAAAAGTTAGGTTTAAATCTAGCTATTTATTCATGGATTAGTGTTAGAGCCACATGAGATTTTGTTTTGCATTTAACGAAAAGGAAAAGGAAAAATTTGAGTTCTGGAAAAAACAGAATTCTGAAAAAAAAATTCTCTTAGAAGTCAGAACTTTTCATGTTAATCCTCTTCTGTAAATAAATAGCTAGTTTTAAATTAACCTTATGTTTTTAAGGTATCATAAGGGACTCATGTGACCCTAGTCCTCTTCTGTATTTATTGACCATTTAGCAACTTTGAATATTGAGTTCTGTTTTTTCTAAACAGAATACTAACTAATGGACCCATAGATGGATTACAGTCAGAACTGGTTTACGAGGTACAGGCTGAGGGGCAAAAAGTGTGAGGGGCCCCCTGGCATTCACCCACAGAGGACACCCAAAGTAAGAGACATGTTTATAAGAATATATAAAAAAATATAAGACACAAAAAAACGCAAAAGAAAACGTACAAGACAAACAGATAGACTACAAAGATATCTTAATCTGTCATATTGTTCCTGTTGCCCTTTGCTTAAATCCTGACAAATCTGGTCACATGCAGAGGTGGGAGAAGTACTCAAAATCTTGTACTTGAGTAAAAGTAGAAGTACTCAGCTCTTGTAGTAGTAGAAGTACTCAGATCTTGTAATTGAGTAAAAGTAGAAGTACTCAGATCTTGTACTTGAGTAAAAGTAGAAGTACTCAAAATCTTGTACTTGAGTAAAAGTAGAAGTACTCAGATCTTGTACTTGAGTAAAAGTAGAAGTACTCAGATATAGTACTTGAGTAAAAGTAGAAGTACTCAGATCTTGTACTTGAGTAAAAGTAGAAATACTCAGATATTGTACTTGAGTAAAAGTAGAAGTACTCAGATCTTGTAATTGAGTAAAAGTAGAAGCACTCAGATCTTGTGCTTGAGTAAAAGTAGAAGTACTCAGATCTTGTGCTTGAGTAAAAGTAGAAATACTCAGATCTTGTACTTGAGTAAAAGTAGAAGTACCAGAGTGTAGGAATACTCTGTTACAGTAAAAGTCCTGCATTCAAAATGTTTGTGAAAGTAGAAAAGTATTATCATCAAAATATAGTTAAAGTAGCGACAGTGAAAGTAGTCATTGTGCAGATTGGTCCATTTCAGAATAATATATATGATATGTTTTATAATGATTGATCATTAAAGTGTTCTCAAAGCTGGTAAAGGTGCAGCTAGTTTGAATGACTATGTATACTGCAGGGTAGCTTGTGAATTTACTCCAGGTGGAACTAAAGTCTGATTTAACACTTGATTATATTTCACATCATTCATCCACATCTGTAAAGTAACTAAAGGTATTAAATATATGTAGTGGAGTAAAAGTACACCATTGTAAAACATTACATTATTTATAAAGTACTCTTTACAACTTGTAAACAATTGACTGATTTTTGTACGTCAAAGATGAATTCAACAGAGTGAGACCTCTTCGTTTTTACTCCTCTCTGGTGCAGCACTGACCCTGGAGCTGTCACACACAGTAGAGAAGCCCCGCCCCTTTCTCACAGCAGAGCGTCCTGATTGGTCGAGGCTGGCAGTGGGCGCACGCGGAGCCACTCGTGACCGCTGGTAGTGGGCGTGGCCTAAAGACACAGGAGCTCGCTGATTGGCTGCTTTCTTAATCTCCGCGGATCACAACAAATATGGAGTGCAGATAGTTCCGGGTGACATTTTACTACTTACTTTTTCAGACTGTCAACAAACGACATAAAATGACTTAAAACCACAAATGAATAACTGATACTTGTTATAACGAGTTTTAACTCATACATGTTATTCGTCTGAGCTCTGTTGTTGTCCAAAACTATTAATAACACATTAATGAGTCACACCGCCCCAATTACTCACTGGAGCACAAAATGTGGATTAGTCCATCGCTTAAAATAGTCCTCAACAAATGGACTAGGACAGATGTTCCCAACACTTTCAGACCATATTTCCAAAATGTGCTGGAACAAATCTCCAAATGACCACTTCCCTCTGCAGATACCAATAATGTAATGACCACATTTCCTATATTGTGATTCCCTTTATCTGGTGCGGTCTAAAACAACAGTCCTGAAATAACTAACAATTATATAGTGTTGGGGTTTTATTTAAACTGTTTAAGAGAGGGTTTTTTTTTTTATTGACGTGTTTTTATTATTTTCTCTGCACTATTTGTATCAATGATGTTAATTAAATACATAAAAACCCTGTCTTTATAATGCAATGCAGTTAAACCACAGCACAAACTACATGTATTCATCATCATGTTTGGTTGTATGAGCTGGGGAACAAATGAACTGTATTTTTGTATAAAATGTAGATATAAAAGACAATGAATATAAATAGAAAACAATGTAAAATTCATAAAATCTGAAGAAACATACAAATAATGAAGAAAAAACAGGTTTATCTATTTTAATATGAAAGATCTGTACGGTGTTGTGCAGGCATTAATTCATGAATTTATGTAATTATTTATTAGAATTTGTATTTATTATTATGTATTTCATTTGTTTATGAATTATATTTCTAAATAATTTCTAACAATAATGTGATGTTTTTTTCATGTAGTACCTGCAGTTGGCCGTTAGGGGGCGATGTTCGGAAAAACTCACCATCGTGTTTTTCAGCGTCTTTTCCGGTTTTAACGGAACGGTCCTTTCCCCTAGCGTCAGCGGACCCCAACGTGTCCGACAAAATGTCGCTTTATAATTTCAAGAAGATTATGGTGGTTCCCACCGCAAAGGTACGTTGTATTCCTCATATTTAGCCTGTTAAAAGAAAGCTGTTTCTCCGGCTGTGTTTCTGAGTGTTGAGAGGCAGAGGAAGATGTAAAAAACATGGAGGTTCTCTTCGGAGGATAAACACGTGTCGAGCTGCTGGAAAGAGACAGTTTCCATAAAACGTTAATTATGTGTTTTTTAAATTGATGTATAAAAGAGGAAAGGGTTTTGAGAGATAACACAGTGAATCTGCCCAGAATTAAGAACATAAAAGGCTGTTTTTGTCCAGTTAATGACATGCGATACACCAAACTCCGTTTAATAATGGAGTTAATTCTGGATGTTTGACAGTTTTTTTCCTATAAAAAGGGAAACTTTATCATATAAATTTAAACTGTGTTGTCATTGCACAGAGTACAAGTACTAGGACAACGCAATGTGGTTAGCATCCAACCAGAAGTGTGTTTTATATATACACGTGACAGTATTTACATTAAGAACAGAATAATCGTTACAAACAGCTGTGTAGAAAATGAATACACTATTCAAATTGTATAAATAAGACGGTATAATACCGACACAATACAGAGTAAAAAGGAATATATTGTGAACGCTTTGTTATTTTTAAATACTAAGAATAAATATGAGTAGGCCATATAGTTGCATGACAGATTTATAAATACAGAGAAGTGCAAAAAGCAGCATAAATCTGTCCATTTAAATACCCTGTCCATATTGGGAGTTGTGGTCCCAGAAGCTAGGCTGACAACAAAATAAATGCCATTTGATTTATTATTTGTATGCCGAATTGACAAGTAGACTTGGTTTATTCATATCAGTGATTTAAAATATCGTTGTGACCTTTCTGATTTAGCTGACAATCCATTTGACATGAAATTGAATGATTTGTTAATGAAGTTCGGCATTGCTCTCTAGTTAAACAGTTAACATGATGATTTTCAGCGTGGAAATGCAAGAAAATTGCATGTTTTTAATGAATATATATATATATATATATATATATATATATATATATATATATATATATATATATATATATATATATATATATATAGTAGTTGTTGTGCATGCTTCAGTATTCATATGATATACAAATAAATGATTCCTTGTTTAAGAGATCATAAGATATTATTTACCCAATGCAAAACAAGCTTGTCAGGACTAAAAACATAACAGATGGGGCAAATACAAGTTACACAACCTTTTCTTTAGACGAGGAAAGTTATATGCTTTTCAATAATAAAATGGTAAGAAGTTGCTTTATTAAATTGATCGATTTGTTAATTAAGTTTGGCATTGTTCTCTTAGAAAACAGTTAACATGATGATTTTCTTTGTGGAAATACAAGAAAATGGGGTGTTTTTGTAAGCAGCTGTTGTTGTGCATGCTTCAGTATCTAATCTATATGTGGTATGTAAATACTTGATTAAGAGATCATAGGGTATGATTTGTGATTCCATTAAAGGTTCATTTAATTGGCAAAAGGAGTTACGCAGTCAAGACCTTTAAACTAAAGAAAGTTACACAACCTTTTAATGATACTCATCTTGGGTATAAGATATGAATTAATGGCTTGTTAATCTGGCTTCAGATAAAGACAATAATAAAAAGTTATGTCCAATCATTTCTAACCTTGCATACTGTGTTTCTCTCTGCAGGATTTCATAGACATCACTTTATCCAAAACTCAAAGGAAGACCCCCACTGTGGTGCACAAGCACTACCAGATCCACCGCATCCGCCATTTTTACATGCGAAAGGTGAAGTTCACGCAGCAAAGCTACCATGACCGCCTCTCGCAGATCCTCACCGACTTCCCCAAGCTCGACGTAAGTCAAGAACCTCTTGTATTCATTCTAAATAACCATCGTTTCCTATTTGTCTGGACACGTATGAAAGGTAGTTTGTGAAATGTGATCATTTGCCATTTTCTCTTTCAGGACATCCATCCGTTCTACGCCGACCTGATGAACGTGCTGTACGACAAAGACCATTATAAGTTGGCTTTGGGACAGATAAACATCGCCAAGAACTTGATTGATAAGTAAGTTTGTCTTAAATGTTATCCTTTTATTATTTAGCATGTTG